AAGAGACCGTGATCGGCGATCACCGATCATACACTTTTTCACGGAAATCGGCCGATTATGATAGGTGGCCGATCGATCGGCACCCCTCTATAATTGTCTCAATTGTCCCACCTGTCTCCCAGGCCTGCTGTTGACCAGTTCCAGCAAGACTCCCGCTGCCCCTTCCTCCTCAGACTTCCTAAGTTTCACCGACCCGTCGCTGCGTCCCGGCAGTGGGACGTCGTTTTCCTCGCCGCCGTCTTTCAGCAGCTGCCTGGTCAAGTCGAGCTCTGAGGGCGGTGCGTCGGAGGGAACCACCCCTCTCTTTGGTTCTCTCATGTCCGCGACTACGACTTCTGCAGGTATTGCAGCTATTTTCCTCATACAAAGCCTTGCAGAAGTGTTTGTAACCTTTGAACGTTGTCACAACAGATTTTAGCGTTTTACATTTGGACTTCTGATATTGAAAATAAGCAATGAATCAGTTAATGGCATGACAGATTAAAAAGAGTTTTGTAATTTCTAGGTCTAAAAAGGGCAATTTTGTTTGCTGCCACTTAATAATCCATTCTATTTATTTTTCAGTTTTGTGTGGTTTTTATTTCCTTTTTCATTTATTGTTGTTTTTGGTTGTTTTGTACTTTGAATATTTATAATGTCTTCCAGTTCTAGTGTTAAGTTAAATTAAAGTCAAATTAAAAGGTTATTAGTCTTTGATTGGTCAAACTTGTATTGTAATGACATTGTTATTACAGTAGTTGAAAATGATCTCAAAACAACAATATTGTCGTTTATCGCAATAATTTCTGGTCCAACTTATCATCCATTACAATTTGTTATATTGTCTGTAGTCAAATCTTTAAACTAGTTAATTTGTTATTTACTGAGTGGGTTACTTCTGAAGGCAATTGACAGCATTAGATTTTAGTGAAGGACATCAAAATAAGCAAGCACAGGTGCACGCCACACTTTTTAGATTTATTAGTAGGAATCCTTAAAATCATGATTTTTCTTCCACTTCTCAGTTGCGCTCTACCGTTTATCAATCACAGAAAATCCCAACGAAACAAAAGTTTTGGTTGTAAAAAAAAAAAAAAAAATTCACATCTTTCTGTCTTCCTCCAGCAGTCGGCGGAAAACTGTACGAGAACTCCCACAGTCACGCAGCGAGCGAAACGACGAGCCTCGCCGGATCGACGGGCTACAAGCGCTCTCAGCCCGCCGGCAGCGGCCTGGGGATGGGCGCCGGCGTCGCAGTCGGTGGCGAAGAAGGCGTCAAGAAGAAGAAGAAGGGCAACTGGCGAAACCGATTCGGACCCTGTTTCACCACGGACGCGAAGCCCACCGAGGCAGCGCCGTCTCTGACGCTCCCCACCTCTTCCTCTGCCGCCAGTGCCACCTCCTCCTCGTCCTCCACTGCCTCCACCGCCTCTTCAGTATCCTCGACACTCTCGGGCCGACCGGGCTTGGTTTCCAGCAGCGGATTAGGAGTAGGAATAGGAGGAGAAAGGGGGCTTGGGGTCATGGGCGTCGGCGGCGGCATTCAGAAATCCCCGTCGCTCCTCAGGAACGGGGGTCTGCAAAGCAACAGCGGCTCCACAACCGCTGGCTCAGGTGAGCAACGCGTACAAACACACAACGCGTCAGAGTTCAGAACCGAATCCCATGTTTGGCAACTTCAAGCTTATAGATGGTTTGTGTCAACTTAACAACAACTGAGCTGGTCATCACTTATTTTATTCATTTAAAATTTAAAATGAATAAAAGTTTTGAATAAAAAGGAGTAGTTGGGAGAAATGTATGTATATATAAATATGTATATTTATATAGTTTAAGCATCTACCAACCATTCATATTGATACGTCTTGAAACACAAAACAGATAATGTATATAAAAAATAATAATAATGGTAAAGAAAAAAAAGTGCATCTTCATATTTTGATGGAATACTATATTTTATTCTTAATTCAGGAGTTGTTGGCTTGTTTGCAGAGATGAACCCAGCTGACCCGTCATTTCCAGGTTTCTTTTAGATCTTGGCTCTTGATTGTGACCAACCCTTGTAAAAATTATGGAACATGAAAGGAAAAAAAAAATTCTAACATTATAGTTTTATAAGCAACATAAAACATTTGTCTTTGCTCCCCACTTTTTTTATTTATTTATTAAACCTAAAAGTGCATCAAAGGCCTTAACGTTTATGATCTAAGTGTGCAGAAATAAAAAAAGATAAAAAAAATTTTTCTATAGTTTCTAACCTCTGGCCGATTGATCAGTGTGACTCTGATTATTTACTCTCTTGGCGCTCATCAGCGCTTGAACCCAGTAAAACCACAATAAAAGTAACTTTTAATGTGGCACGTTTGTGTCGGTGTCTGCTCCACACACCCTCAGTCTCTAAACACAAATAAATCATTCAGAAAGTGTTTGTGGACGGCCTCTGTGCAGCGCAGTATTAAATTACCAATCACTAATGGCAAGGATTTGATTCACTTTTGTAATTGCCTCAATATTTGCATGCGTGTCTGTGTGTGTGGTATATTATCCGTCTTGCTCACACACATGAAAAAGGCTCTGTATATTTCTTTCCCCCCCATCATGTTCAGTTGCTTGGCAACTGCCTTTATGCTTTGGAGTTTCCCTGGGCTGATGGAAGTGGCTCAGTCTGCTCCACACTTCCCACACCTCCCCTTTCTTCCAGAACCATCACCGTTTTGTTCCTGCGTCAGGCTTTCAGCCGCCGTCTCGTACCTGCGGCCCGCTCATTACTCAAACCGTTGCCGCTTAAGCAGCTCAGGTGGAAGGAAAGGTGAATCCCTTAGTCTGATTGGAGACTGGAGACGTAGTTAGTTTTGTGTTTAAATCAGCAACAAAGCTTCTTCTTGTGGATCTTTTTTTTTTTTTTTTTCCCCCCCACCTTTCGCAGTTTTAATTCCCCAGGAGAGAAACATTCGAATTCCGAGTATTTTAAATCCACCTTTCCTTTTAGTTCAACTCACATTCGGCATTCACAGCAACTTAAAATAAGCCTCCTAACTCATAAGTGCACTGCATTTATTAAGTATTCATTCAGAAATACAACACACGTTTTGCTGGCCCTTTTCCCGGCATTTACTTTGAAGGGCACAATAAAATGTCCCACAACCTGCAGCAACATGAAGCATTAAGTGATTGTGTGTTAATGCAGCCAAAGCTTCGTCCTGGTCGGGCTGTTTTATAGACTGCTGTCTGAGCTGCAGCGGCTCCCACACTCTGACACAGAGCTGTGGAGGAGGAGGAGGACACACACAGACACACTCCACCGGGCTTCATTTGCCTAATCTAGGTTTACCTTGAATTTAAGTGGAAGAGCTACAGAATCAAAGCTGCAAAAATGAATAAATGTTTTAGCTTCTTGGAATAAAAGTGAAATGTTAAAGATTAGAACAAGTTAAAAAGTTGAAGCTGGCTTTAGATTAAATGAAGTAATGTATTATTATTATTTTTTTTTTGCTATTTTTATGGGTTTTTCCCCCCCCCCAACTTATACAGTTGCTTTTCTCTTTTAATGAAAACGGTAAATACACGCTAGGCATCATAATAATTGTATTTTCTCCAAGTGTAATAAATAGGAAACATTGTAGATGCTGCTTAGTAGCAATAAAACTCTGCGTTCAAAAATTTAACGTGTCATTTACCCAAACTCAATTTTATTTTTAATTTATTTTATTTGCTAAAGTGGTTTTAAACTACTTTTTCAAGCCCAAGCTGTGATGATTAAAAATATTGAACATTTTTAAGAAAGGAAAAATTGAACTAATTCATTTGTAATTAAAAATATGAGCGCTAAAAATTAACATTAGAGTTGTAAATAAAGTACTGAGTTTTATTGGTGTTAAAACTGTGCGTTTGATGTAGAACTTACTGGTAAAATAAATACATAAATAAATAGAAAGGTTGTTGTGTTGTCTTTGAAGTACAGATTTTATCTAATATTTTCCGTCCGTTGGAAGTTTTCGCTTTATGCTTGTAGCGACTCAACAGGTTGGCACTTTTTTTGTTGCATATTTCTCTTTGTATCTGGATTTTAAACAGGCATGTTTTCTCTTTGTGTGACTTTTCTTTTTTTGTTTTGTTTTTTTTTTTTTTTTGCTAATGCTGAGTGTGTTCACTGGCAATGTTTTTATTTACTATTTAAAAAAAAAAAAATTTCCAAAGCCTGGCAGATATTTTTGCTGGACATACTTCTCCAAATTCAACATGCCGCATAACGTAAATACCCAGCACAAGGTCGGATCCTGACACAATGAGTCAGTTTTCGGGTCAGAATTTGGTGTCTGTGTCGAGTTCTGCGCTTTTCCCCTAAAGCGGCGCCTCCGTTTCTCGCCACAGCGGGTTGCAGGTCAGGCGAACAGCGGAGCTTTCCGACGTCTGCGCTTCGTGTATATTCGTGCGTAAGCGAGAGAGGGAGAATTGTGTGTCCTGCTTACTGTAAATATTTAGCTCAGGGTTAATGCAGGGCGGTAATGGGAAGGATCCTGGCGTTTATCTGCCCCCACTCTCCTGTCTGCTGCCGACTCCACCGCGCTGATGGATAGATAGTTAGTCTGATAGATACGTGTTGGTGGATGGGGAAAAGCAGGGGTTAGATTTTGGCTAGGTTAATGTTTGATGGCTGCAGGGTCACCGATGGGACGGCCAAGCATAGTCAGGTCGGGGTGTGAGTGTGTGTGTGTGTCAGGAAAGATCCTGGATTTATTCAGGCCAGCTGGAGTGTAAATGCATAACGTGAGGAGAAACCAGGCAGAGCAAATGAAGCTCCTTATTGCTGGGTATTTATTAACTCATTTCAAAGATCACATGTTTAATTGTAGGAGTCGATCCCTGGGAATTTCTGATAATAATCAGCAGCTTTGTCTCACCGCAAACACGTCGGGGGAAGTTGTGAAAAGCAGCAAAAAATATTCTGCAGCCTATTTTTAATTTTAAAAGCTCCGTGAACTGAGACATCTGTTGCAACTGAGATTTTTTTATGTACATATTTTAATTTAAATAGAAATAGTTGTGTATGTTTTTTTTTTCTTTCCTTTTTACATTTTCACAACAATGTGCTGGGTTGTCTGAAAATTAGAAACGCTATTTATTGTGGCTGAAAAACACAATAACGCCTAGACTGAAATACTTTGACCACTTAAAGTCAGTTAATGTTTTACAATTTCCAATAAAATTAATTTTTCACTCACAATTAAAATCACAAACAAAACAAAGCATCACTGAAAAAAAATCTTCAGGAACCAGTTTTTTTTATTTATTTATTTTATTTAATTCCCAGTTTAAAATAGTTGTTTTTCTGCTTCTTTCTCATTTCTTTCTTGCCCATGATTGCTGCAGCTCCTATATTTCTCTTGGTGTTTTTGTGACTGGCTTGTTTTTATTAGACTGAAGCAAACCTCCCATGCATTTTTGTTCCTTTCTCTGATCAAACACACACGCACACACACACACACACACACACACACACACACACACACACACACACACACACACACACACACACACTATCATCAGCCGCCCTCGTTCCAGCTCTAAATTAGTTTTCGTTTGTCTTTGTTGGTAGAAAACTCTCAGGAAAACAAATGTCTCCGTGTTGTTGTGGTTACACTTAGCGTGCCTTGTGATTACATCAGCTCTGTCTTGCTAAAACAAGCTAGAAAGGCTCCGCTTTTCAGCTTCATCTGGCTGCCTGCGGATTACCCTCAGTATTTACGCCAAGTTGTAAAAATACAGATTTGTCTCGCTGATGTCTGATTACAAAGCGATCTCTTGGATGTTCTCCTTAGGAGAGACTTCACTAAGCAATGGCCTGGCAAAATAGCTCTTCTGTTGAGATAAATGAGACTTGGATTGAAAAAGGTAGATATTTTCTAAGCTTGTCGGAAGACGGAGCAAGAAGGAAAAATTAGAGGAATGCTGGGTAATTCAGACCGGTGGGTTTCTGCCGCTGAACTGCACTGATTACGCAAGTACATTTAAGGTCTTTTGCTTTAAGATTTCTCCTCATGGTAATTATATTTTTATTCCTGTTATTTTTCTAATTGTGAAATATATTTGAAATAAGCGTGAGTAGTCGCCGATGCTTAAAAAAACGGTTTTGTTTTTATTTAAAGAATTACAACTTTCAATCTGATTTCTCATGGAGGTTTTTTCTCCTCGTTTATTCACAGCAAGAAGCTGAAATGTTTTAGAATAAGTCAGTGATGTTTAAAGAATTTCAAAAATTTATAATTGGTATTTTTTTAAAGAAATAAAAATTACCTAAATCTTAATTTTGACCACAATTTGATTTTTTTATTATTATTATTTTGTTATATTTCACAGTTTTTCTCACTATCTTTTTTTTATTTTTGTAGAACATTATTTTATCCACTGCAGTAGCCAAACTCTGATAAATTGTTGGTTTGCCCTCTAATCCAGCTGCTGAAAACCTCGCAGAAACTCCCCCTCTCCCCTCTCCCCCTGCCCCCCGAGCCTCGCCCACCCTGCTTTGGGGATCAATTTTTCTGCTGCATATTGCAAAGCGTTATAAATAGTATGTCGGCCCATGTAGTGTTCGTATCTATCGCTCCCTCCATCCCTCCGACCCCTCCCCTCCTGGCACAAAGATCTCTTGTTCCCCCAGTGAATGCATGCTGCCCTGAGCCATTCAGGCTTTTGTGGGGCTGAGGGGCCCCTCGTCCCCCCGCCTGCTCCCCTCCTCTGCTGGGGTCAAAGGAAGGCAGGGGCAGGGTTTATCCGTGGTGAGGGCAGGGGTGTGTGAGGGGAGGAAGTGGAGATACTGAACTGGGGCATGTGTCGGGGGTTGAATTATAATTATCACCTGAGTTTTGGGAAATTCAGTATCTATATTTTTTATTATAGGTGAAGTATATGCATTTTTAAAAGTTTTGGTTTGCTGATGTCTGAAAAAGAAAAATGGATTTTGGCTGTGATTCATTGAAGTTGTATAACCTTTTGTAATAAAAACATTCCAATGTTTTTATTATTTTATTTTATTTTAACTTTTTTTTTGTATTTAAAAATTTCTACTATTTTGATTTTGTTTACGTTTGATATTTTCCGTTCCTCAGAGATTTTATTTTTGGGTGTCGGAAACTGTGGTTTAGGCAAAAATAAATTAAAATCTTAGCATTTTACTTTGAATTTGCATTAAAAATCTGCAGCTTTTTTTTTTTTTTTCCTTTTAAGTCAGTTTGGGTTAAAAAAACACAAATCTTCCCAGTTGCCATTTTAAAATATTTTTTTCCTTAAAGGTATTTTATCTGCAGTATATCTTTACGCATTAAATATACACACATTAAATAATAATCGACCATAATTACACATCAGCTTCTAAAATGTATCGCCGCCCATCTTATCGGTTTTAGTGTGATTGAGGATTAGGACGACGCTGTTAATGTTTTATCTCTCCACAGGTGTCTTCTCCGTCGCCGACGGGTCATCGTCGGGGACAGCAGCCGTCGCCATGGGCGGGGCGAGCGCCGAGTTGTCACAGCAACAGCAGCCCACACCTTCCCTGGCGCCTCCCTCCCCATTCACCGCCGCGGCTCCACTCAACAGCACAACCTCCGCACACGTGAGTCCCAACGCGCAACGTTTGCTGAAAACTCTCATCACTCCCACCACCCACCACCCCTTTTCCCCTCACCTCACTCTGGCACGCATGAAAAAGCATCAAACCCACGGCGACGCACTCCATTTCTCCCTTTTCTTTCGCGCGCGCTCTGCTTTTATTCAACAAACCCCAGCATCATTCAATTCACCAACACCTCTCACATGTTTGAGCTCAAGTGTAGATAAACCGCACAGGCACAAACGGCGTGCAATTAAACGTCGTCTGTGGCAAATCTCTCGCCGCCATTATTAAACTTCTGCACATTAATTATCTGTAAAAGGAAAAAAAAAAAAGAAATAAATAATAATAACAAAACGTGCTGGTTCCGACCTTGTGCGGAGTCACTTTTTTTTATGGCGAGATAATCTACTGCCGATGTCTGGGTGCACCTGTGGAGGGTCGTCCTCATGCATTGAAAGCACAAAAGTAGACCTTTATTCTAGTTCTCCAAACGCGTCATTAAACGTGTGTATTCTCCTGACTAATTCAGTTCTATTAACCCCAGTGAACAAGGTTGTGATGGATTCCTGCTAATTAAAACGCACAGGAATTTATTTATTTATCTTTTTGGGGGTTGAGGGGGAGGGTTGGCGGTGTAAGCAGAAAGAAATACTCAAAATCATCAGTTTGAATACACTTGGGTCCCAGCAAAAAGAATCACTGGAGGGAAACTGCCAAGGCTGAATGCATGCCCTATTATGTTTTTATATCATTTCCCTTAACGTGGAGAGCGGTACAAAAAACACGCCTTGGCCGAGTTCATTCTCCAAGCGTCATACCTTAAAGTGGGACGGAAATCAAGGCTGCTCTTCTAAAGAGTGATGAAATGTTTGGAGTTCTTTAAAAAACAAAAAAACAAAAGTAGAACTCTTAAATATAAAAGCTTTAGTTAATCACCAAATTACCAAAAGCTTCTTTTCAGAGTATTTAACGAGTTGTGGTGTGTGCTTCTAGCTTTTATTTAAGCTAACATCTAGTTTCCAAATATCAAAGTCAGTAGGAACTAAAATAAGAGCCCATCCTCTATCCTTGAATGAAGTAGAGATGAAACATTTATAAGTTGGAACATTTATCCTGGTTGAGGTTATTATAGTGTTGCAGTTTTAAATAGAAATGACCAAAAACAAAATTGCAGTCTGCTACAGTGTTAATGAACAATCCAAGTTTTAGATTTCTTATCACACTGAAGCACCAAAACGCACCATCTGTTAAAGTGTGCTGTATTTTTAGACTTCATATTTAAGAAATGAAGACACTTTAAAGATGGATCAAATAAGTGATAATCTGCCTCTAGCGGCTAATGCTTAATAAGATAACTTTTATTCAGTTGCTTGTGATCTTCATAATGTTTTGGCTTCTGTAGTTAACTTAGTAAGAACTTGTTAGATTGCTTGGACTATTGGCATTGTAGCCTTGGGTTTAGGTGTTCTTTTATTATTATTGTTAATAGAGCAGAAGGTCTGAGACACAACTTCCTTTTAAACCTTCATAGTAAAAGCCCCAAATTAAAAATATTTAAAATGTCATTCTTTCAATGGCTAGATCCTGTGCTTGAAGCAATTTGATTAGCTTCTCTTTTGCCGAAAGTGTTGACTGAACAGATAATCCCAGCTACTACTTCCTTCAAATCTTCACAATAAGAGCCTTTAAGGAAACTGTAATGCACTCTGGTCCAAGGCTCAAACACAAGATTTGTAAAAGCGCAAAGGTCTAAAGGCTGGCCATATCCAAGGGGTTATGGATATGGCCATAACCCCTGTTATATTTTACTAAGTTAAAATATGTTAATTTAGTAAAAAAAAAAAAAAAAAAAAAAATCCTAATATGATGTGAATAACTGATACATTGTCATTTGATTTGCATCAGTTTTTACGCTCCTTGTAATTCCAGCAGTAAAAACCTTTCCCTTTTAGAGAAATGTAATTTGTTGGCAAATCTGTATTTATTCCGTTGAAATTACTGCAAATCTAGAAATTATTTTCATTGATTTTATACATTTATTTTCAAACTTGACCTATGAATATTCAGATATTTTCGTTGTAAGACCCTTTCTAAAGATAAAAACAACATCCTGTTGATGAGAGGTTTAATATGTGACTGAATGAATTATTGTCGACGCTAAATTATGGGATATTTATGCTGCACAAAAACCGATTAATAAAGTTCAATTACTTCTGCGTGGATCAACATGTTTTGCATATCTTAAACCTATTTGAACAAACCTTGATAATATCAAGAACATTAATTTATAGCATGACAATCTGGATTACAAAAAAATAAAAAATAACTTCCGACTCATAGTATGTAGTGTTCACATTTCCCCATCTTTGTCCACACAAATCTCTTTTATTTCCTCCTGTGTCCTCTCAACACTTCTTTTTTTCTTCTTCTCACCCTCACCCGTCCATTCCTCTTCTTCCTCCTCTTCCTCCTCCGTTGTCCTCTGATGTAATGACATCTGACAAGCTCCACAGTAGGAATGGAGAGATGGATGGAGTGAGGGAGGGGTGGCTGTATGGTAAAGGTGGAAGGTTGGAGGCGGTATCCCTCAGTTTAACGTGTTCCAGAGGACGAGAGAGGAAAAAGTGTTTGTGTGATTCAGACGGTTTATTTCTCACTTTTCCTCTGTTTTTTTTTTTTTTTTGTGTTGTTTTTTTAACGGGGTGGCCTGTGCATCTGGGAAACATGCAGACTTTGAACCGAGCTTGCAGAACTGACACGGCTGCAGACTGAAGCCAACAACAGGCTTCCCCGTCTCTGTGCGTGTGTGTGTGTGTGTGTGTGTGTGTGTGAGACTGAGACGGTTTGCTGTTTTCGGTCCACTAACAGACTCTTGGCCTTCTGCTATTGGCTATTTGCCTAAGATAGGGGGGGGGGAAAGGGAGTGTGAGAGAGACTTAAATGAAAAATGAATGCAAATGAAAAATGAATGTTGATGTGAAAGGGGGGAGGATTATGGAAACAAGGGATGGAGGAGGAGGGGTTAGAGAGAAGTGGACAACGGGAACAGCTTTCTTCATAAAACTTAAACTAGACAGAGATTTTTTTTTATTTTTATTTTTTTTAAACTTGGACATAATAATCCGTTAATTTCACGGCTCATTGAAATTTAAAGACATATTCAGCAACTACCTACCGATTTAGTTTTGTACATCTTCTTAAACACTGCTAATAATTTTGTGCTATATGCAGCGTTCTATGGTTTTGGTTGTTGTTTGGACACAATAATTTGAAGTAAACACATCTCTCAAAAACAAATGACGCAAATAATATTTATCTTCAGTATTTAACTCATTCGCAGATCCTCACATTGGGTCCTACAGCGCTACATTCTTCAATCGGTTTTCTGCAGCGTCACATGTTTTGCTTCGGTCACAGGGTTTTCCACTGCATTTAACAGTCAGCCATTTTGTTCTGTTGGGTGGAGTGGATTCCCCTCCTGATGCTCCACCTTCCCGCCCCCACCCCACCCATCACACCACAGCCCCTTAGTTGGGAAATGCCTTAATTGGATTAAACTCTATGCATCAGAAACACTTTGTCAGCATGTCAGAGGACTGTCGGGGTGCCGGGGCGCTCAGAGCCCCGCGTAAATACAAAATGATACACTTTTGATTTTCACCTAAAAAATGTTTTATTATTTTTTGTCTTATCTAGTAATTATAATTAAAAAAAATAAAAAGCTAATTTCAATATATTGTTTCAACAATTATTTCTAGAATAATTTTCTCTTTGGGGTTGATTATATTACAAACACGCACGTGTGTGTGTGTGTGTGTGTGTGTGTGTGTGTGTGTGTGTGTGTGTGTGTGTGTGTGTGTGTGTGTGTGTGTGTGTGTGTGTGTGTGTGTGTTTCCTTATGAAAATCAGTTGTTGCTTTTTCTGTATGAAATATATTAAATGTCTATTGTGCCTATTTTTAAATAAATAAATATAATATTATTTAGGTTAATTTTGATGCAAAAAATATTTTTGCCAGATATTTTTTTGATAAGATTTTTTTTTTAATAGATTACTCAAAAGTGTTTCCACAGCTTTTATTGCAAGCTGCATGTTGGACTCTCTCACATGCACACACACACACACACACACACACACACACACACACCCTTGCACTTCCATACAAACTTGAAGACTTTGTTTTGACTTCCATTTATTTTAGTAACTGCATTTATGCCTAACCCAGAGATTTTCCCTTTTCCTAACCGTGACCAGTCTATTCCTAACCTTAACCAAAGCTTAATTCACATCTTACCTCCAAATCAAACCTGTAAAGTGTGCAAGAACTGAAAAACCTGGAAAATGTCCTCAGTCCCACAAGTGATCTCCCTTTGTTGGTAAATGTTGTGAAAGTGGTTCTCTATATGCAGCGTATACAAGTACACACATGCCCATAAAAATCCAAGTTATATGTTTAAGTAAATATTTAAAAAAAAACTATTTAAAAAAATGGTTTAATGTCTGTTCTGTGCTGTGTGTCCCGTCCTAGGCTCTGCCGGGCTCCGTCTTCAACTTGGCCCCCCCCCACATGTTCGGCAACAGGCTGAACCCCAACTCCAGCATGGCGGCTCTCATCGCTCAGTCCGAGGCCTCACCAGCAGGTACCCTCATATCTAACGTGGGAGTGTGTGAAGGAAAGACAAGAAGATAATGCATAGGTCACGCCCTCTTGATCCCGCTGTGAGGTCAAGGGTCACTGATAGTCTCAAGCTCCTCCTTCCCACCTCCCATGCGGAGTGGGCGGCGCTTCTGCAGATTTCTTGGATTTTTTTTTTTTTAAATGCGTAAGAGGGAGTAGAGGGTCTCTGTGACATAACGACTCCCCCCCACCCCACCAACTACATGATAAAAAAGTTTAGCAAAGAGCGAGTAAGAAGTGGTATTAGCAGGCAGGAGTAGCCGCTTCCTGACGTGAGACATCTGGTTGGCCAGAGAGTAGAGACGCAGGACAGGAGAGAGGAAGAGGGAATGAAGAGTGAAGAGGAGGAAGTGGTTCCTGCTGCCAGTCATCAGAGCCAGATCCACTCTGACCCGCAGGTCAGCTCACTAATCAGGCTGAATGTCAGGGGATACAGGCCTTTCTTTCTCTCTCTCTGTGTGTGTGTGCGCACGTGTGTGTGAGTGTGTGTGTCTCTTACTCAGAGACTGTGCAGGTTTCAAGGATTCAGCCTTATTTCACTTCTTAACTGAACGTTAAGATGTAATTTAAATAGATCTAAAAATGCTACGAAACTATAAGACATCAAGAAAAAACATGAATAATTTCCAACTTTATAACTATGGAGACATAAATGCAAAAGCAGACGAGCTTTTACTTTTAAAACATCCTTGTCGTCTTATTTGCTTAAAAACTAAAACATTAATGGGATATTTATTCTTATTGCTTGATTGATCCATGAACCTTTTCACTCCAGATACAACGAGCATTAAACCACATCTCTTCTTTCCTCTGCAGTCATTGGAAGAATGTTTTCTTCTTTTGTTCTGCATTTCAAATGGTATCAATGTGCAGGAGTCATCTAAGAGGTCATGCAAGGTGTGTGTGTGTGTGTGTGTGTGTGTGTTTGCATGCGTGTATGTAGCCTGTTTACTTTGGCACCCGTCTGGCGTGAGCTGCCAGGACAGAAAGGGTTACGGCGGAAACGGCACTCGGGAGGAAGAAAAAAAAAAATGGTGACCTGGTGGGGGGAGGAGGAAGGAGAGAGAAGAAAAAAGCTGGGGTTTGACTGTCTTAAGTAGAGGGGAGTTTGCGCGAGTGTATAAATGCAAAAGTGTGTGCGCATGTGTGATTCATTACTCTGACTGAGGAAAATGAAAAGAAGCGTCTGGCCAGGGGCCCAGAGGGAGGAGAGGTAGAGTGAGAAAGAGAGAGAGTGAATGAAAGCTCATGTCTTGGAGAGATGGAAAGTTAAGGAGATGCTTGTAATCTTGACAGAAGAGCAAAGGGTCAGATCAGAAAATATAGTTTGTTTTTTCTAATTATCTAAAAATAAAACGTAAAGCAAATGATTTCAGTTTTAGTGTAAACAGAAGTTAGATGATCTTTGTGGTCTAATTGAAGCACCGTGTGGTGGAAATGATCAGGATCCAGATCATTTCTGCTCTTAAAAATTAAAGACCCAGCATTCACTCTGGATCACAATAATGCACATTTTGTGCCTTTTTTATTTTTTACTTTTAGGTTTCAGAGGTAAATGAAATCTGTGTTGTCTTTTCTAAACCCAACTTGGGGTCAAAAATTGATGTGTCCAAAATATCCATGTTATAAATGTAGGCGCTGCTATAGAAGCAGTAAGAATATATTGTCTTGAACTTAGTAGAAATGCTTGTATAATCAGCTTCTTTTTGTCTTTTCCATTGATGTTCGTTAGAAGCTTGAAAATGATCGATGCGATTATTTTTATCCTGCAGTTCGAGGACATTTTCACAAAAATAAACACACAAAGCACATCAAAAATACCAATCAGATTCTATTTAAAGCATAAAAAGTTGCAGCTATTGAAACTCCCCAAAAACAACCCTGTATTTTGGTTGTTATTGGTTGTAAATTTGTGCTAAATTTTTTTTTGCATTATAGATTTTGGTACATAAACCGAAGCAAAGTTATCGTAATAAACTCCCAGTAAAATTAAAGTAATTTCCAGAATATTATATCATTTTACAATTTCGATTTTGATAAAGCAACACTTCTTTCTTTTCCGCTGTGCTCAGCAACAAGTGGGGGAGGGGCAGCACCATATTGCAAACTCCCCATAGAATCTCATTTAAATGATTTTAAGCTGTGGAAACGGCTTGTTGGAAAATTTTTAGCAGTTTTCGAACCATCACCATTCCTAACGTCTTCTAACCAATAAAATATGGTTGATGTATGTTTAAATATCCTGCAGCTCAATGTTTATTTCTGTGCTTTAATAATGAATCAGATTATTATATTTCAATCAAACAAGGTGTAAAATGATTTTTTTTCCTCTCAGAAACAAGAGCTGCAAGTTTGTTTAAAATGCGGAAAGCAGGAGGGCAGAAGACAACCGTTTCACCGTCCTTTGTAAACATTTTTTTGGTGAACAAACTGCCTCCAACTTAACATCCGTGTGTTCTTAGAAGTCTGATTGATTTTCTGTGTGTGTGTGTGTGCCTGTTTGTGTGTGCGCACGCAGATCAGGAGGTGGGAGACGGCAGCAGCGGATCTCAGGGCTTCTCCATAAGAGCTTCTCCTAAGACCACCCCGCGGTGAGTGCACACACACACACACACACACACACACACGCATCCTCCTTCCCTCCCTCTCCATTTACATTCCTCACTGCCCCCCCATACTTCACCCCCCCCCCCACACACACCCCTCCTCACTCTTTTTCTTCTTGCTTTTCCCTTCGCCGGCCCCTCGTCTCCTCTTCTCTCTCTTCCTCTCGGTCCGCTCTTCCACACATTCCCTCTTTCGCTTTTAGCCCTGCAGGCAGTTCTCGCTCTCTTAGCCAACGATAACTTGCTCTAAAGGAGGTAGCCGTCCTTCAGGTTCACTTAGATACTTTGTTTTTTTTTTCCTCGGTTTTAAATCAGCCATGGACGGACAGTCGGAGGATTTAATGTATCTTCTCCTTTTGGGAATACTTTCGTGGATCTTTCGGGATGGGGATATTGATCCCAGAAATGCATTTCTGCTTGTTTCTTCCACTTTGTGGGATGGCTGAGGCATCTGATGAGGTTGGTAACACTTGGATGAGTAACGCTGCACTTAAAGTCAGCAGTGTTGTAAAATGCTGTGGTGGTACCGCAACCTAGATTAATTTGCGCAGTGTTCTTGACTTGAGAAATGCATTTTCTTTCTCTCTCTCTTTTTTTTTCTTCTCCTCTCCCCCTTAGCGCTGGGTTTAACCTTTTAAAAGCAAAGTGCAAAACTCTTGCTACATCTCCTCTCCTCTCCTGCTGTCCCTCGTTTCCCCTCTTTCACACTCAACAGATTGTCTCAACAAACAAGATTTATCGCACGGAGACGTCGCGCTGCGTCCTCCCTCTCTTTCCCCCCAGCTCTCGCGCGCAGACGGAGAGCCTGGCCCCTTTTCATTAGAGGCCACTGTAACAACAAATTGATGTAGTTTTATAGCCAGCAGTGTCTATGTTTGTCTGACATTTATGTTGGGTCGTTAATCTCCCTATTGACCTCTCCATCTCTCCTTTTTCCTTTCCGCGCTCCCTCTTTTTTTTTTCTCCACCCCACCCTGCCACCCCGCTCCTTTCAGCTCTCCCATTGGCGGCCTGCAGATCCGCTATGACTCCTCGGGGTCGTTGCCTGGGCCAGGGCTGGGGTTGCTAGGGGCCGGTGGCGTCGGCGGCGGGGAGACGCTGCCCCCGGTGGCCACCAGCATCGAGCAGCTCCTGGAGAGGCAGTGGAACGAAGGGCAGAGCTTCCTGCTGCAGCAGGGAGCGCAAGGAGACGGTGAGTGGAGGCAAAACATCTTCCTCCTTCGCTTCTCCTACAGCTGAGGAGAAAATGGAAAAGCGACAGCAAAACCTGCTTGTTAGAAAATCTGTCCTTCAGCAGAGGCCGTCAATTTAAAACGACCTTCTCCTCGCCCCGTCTCGTCGTCCTTGAGTCTAAATGTGCGTCAGGGTAACTTTGACTCGTTTTGACCTTTGACCTTCTTGTAGAAAAGTATAAATCACTGGATACTTGAGCATGGCCGACTGCTGGTCTTTCAGATTTTTCTTCTCAGTCCAACCACACATACTGTATTCACAGCGTGGCTGTGCATCCTTAAGTTTTAAATTTATGCATCGAAAATAAATTAGATGCAAAATTTAAGACTTTGAAAGTTCTAGATTTATGCATCCAAATTTAAAGTCTTAAAATGTCTTAAATTCTTTAAACAAATTTACAATGGTCTTAAGTACGTTAATCACAGGTCTTAAATGTTGTCGTCTCATGGCTATTTATTATACATTCTATGTAGTTTTTTTTTCTGTAGAGCAAAGTCTGAGTCATGACGCTACTGCTAACTAGCTGCTAATATATATTTCCTAGCTAGCCATGTGGCATCTTTGCATTTTTTTTTGCGAGCAAATTTATTGCTAGTTTGCCGGATGATGTTTGTGTTTGCCACTGACTCACTTCTGTTGCCATCTGATACTTGACCAGATTCATCATTCTGTCCAAAAAAAAAAAAACTTTTAAGCTTGGCCCTGTGGCGGTTAGAGCTGTAAAGAGCAACAAAAGCCACTGCTAAACAGACTTCAAAAATTTCACAATACGTGCTATTTTTGATTCTTCTTAAAATCAAGAAAATTATGGATAACTGACCATCGTCTTCATGACACTGTCTTGGGAAATCAGAGTGTCTTCAATCAGAGGCGTCTTCAAATTCACTGTAATACAGACCGCTACAGGAGGTTGCAGCAATCACAACCTACAACGACTCTTTGAATTAGTATGAGTTATTTTAATTTCCCTTTGAGATCAATAAAGTATTTTTGACATTTGAATTTCTAATACCCTATGATCATCTTTTTTTTGGTCTTAGATTTCAGTCAAGGTGGCGTTAGAAAGATCTTACAAGTCTTAAATTTGACTCGCTGAAACCTGCAGATGCCCTGATTTACAATCTCTACCATTAACCCACCTGTATTTAATTTTTATGTTTCACTTTAGCGCCATAGATGCCATAACACAATGTCTTCCCTCCTCTTCCTCCTATCAGTGGTGGCCATGTTGAAGTCTCTCCACCAGCTGCAGGAGGAGAACAGGAGACTGGAGGAGCAAATTAAAACCCTGACCATGAAGAAAGAGAGACTCCAGCTTCTCAGCGCACAGTTATCAGTGCCTTTCACCCCGAGCACAGTTTCTTCGGGTAAACACACACACACACACACACACACGGTTTTGTTAGAGCAGCTTTTGGGAGATATGTCTTTACAAGAGATGAAAGAAATGTAAAGAGAGAGTCTTGGAGAGTTTTTAACACAGAGAGATTTGCTTTCTACACCAGTTTAGACTTACAGTGCCTTACAAAAGTTTTCATACCGTTGTAACTCTTCATATTTAATACTTTCATGTACAGAGTTCCTGAACTGTGTGGAAAAGAATTAAACTTAATTTTACCCCCTATCCTATTTTTCAGCTCATCAGGACAATAAAAGGGAAATTTAACATGAAGAATGTATAAAGCTGATAAATGTGAAGCGGAAGAAAAATTCTGGGCCTTTTTTTAAAATCACTATTTACATCTGACATACCCAAGTAAAACCCATTTCAACTGGTTTCAGATTTTATTTGGGATAGTCTGTCAGCACATCTATTATTGATCATACACTCCATAAACCAGCTTTTCATGCTGTGTAAGAGTGCCATTGTTGGAAAAGAATGCATCTTTCAATTTTGTCACAATGTAGGAGACAGCAAAGTTCTGATTGGAGTAGAGTTTAGATCGGCTCCACCAGCTCCACTTCTTTGGACCGCAGATCCCAGACGTCTTGCACTTGACTCACCCCGCGTTTACAACAAGCTACGAAATGGAGCCGGGAGATGTTAGACAAAAACTCAAGACAGAATAAAGTTGCGCTGCTTACTCGGATTATGGCCTAAAAGCGAAAGCAGTAAAATTTAAATTTAAATAATGTCGAGTTTGACTTGTTGGATTGGATTTTTGTTAGAAAGCTGAGGAGAGTTGATGTGAAGACAGTGGCGCTACAGTGGAGTGATTTAGATCAAATGATTCTGTTCTGTTAGAATAGCCTAGTTAAAGTAAACGTCTAAATCCAACTGAGGATCCGTGACTTTAAAAAAATCTTTGACAGATGTTCTCCTTTCAGTCTAGACTCATCCGTAGATGTTTTCAATCCATAATTGCTCACTGCTTTGTTTTGGTCTAAGTCTCAATAAAATACATCAAAGTTTGCTGCTTTAATGTTGTAAAAGTGGGGATCAGTACTTTAGTGCGGCTAACCAAGCTAACACTGTGATTGTTTGTGTAGGTGACGTGAAGGGGTCCCACCTCGGAGCCACAGACTCTTCTTTACCAATGACAGCTCAGGTAAGGAGAGGAACACAGCACGGCACCGCCGCGCCATTAAACACCCGATGACGGCGTGTGTGTATGTGTGTCTGGCTCAAAGGACACCGCGTCGTGTGGCGGTCACAGCAGCAGCGGCTCCACCTCCTCGCTCTCCGCCTCGCCCTCCGTCTCCCAGAGCCCGCCTCAGCCGGCGCTGAACGGCATGGCCGCCACGGCCGCGCTGGGCGGCGTCGCCGGGCTGATGGGCGCTCTGGGCGCGGGAAACGCGTTGGGAATCGGCGGGATCGTCGGAGCGCTGAACGGTGTGATCCAGGCGCCGGCGGTGGGCCCCGGCAGCCCCCACACTACAGGAACAACGGCAGGCGTCTCGCTCCCCGTCAACAGCAGGTATCCGACTTCCTGTTCTACAATGATCTCACCTGTGAAGACATGAAGTCATACACAAAACAAATGTTTGTTTCTCTGAAAACGTTCAACAAGCAAGGAAGCTGTTTGTGTCTTCGGGGTAAATGATTGGGTGAGAAGTTCACAGCTTCCTCTTTTTCTTCCCTTTTGCCTTCATGCTGGATTGAAGCAGCTCAACAGGTAGTAAGAGCAGGTGAGACAGGAACCTGCACAGCTGCATCTCAATGTGGTAGAATGTTATCAAGCAGCTCATTTATTTCACTTATTAACTTGAAAACATGAGCTCGTGTTATATCGATTCATTACACATGGAACTTGGCTTTCAGATATTAAAACTCCATATGTTTAACAAACAATATGAACACAATAAAAAAAAAAAAAAGAAATCTTGCCAGCTGAAATGTCCATGAAATGTACAATATGTGCACTTGATCAGGGCTCATTTCCAACATTTACTTTGCATCCTGTCAGTCCTGCAGTTATTTCTGTATTATTGTGCGCCTGATCCACCACACGTTTTCCTTCCACTTAATTTTCCACTAAAAGGCTTAGACACGCCACGCTGTGAGCAACAACCAGATTCTTGTTTTCACTAGTTATAAGTCAGAATCATCCTAATTATCTGAAACAGGTGTGTCAAACATCAAGATCACACAAGTCCTCAGAGATAAACATCATTATCATCATCATATTGAACGTCCTCTCACACTGATGTAGTTTGGCAGTATAAGATAGAACCGCTTTAATTTGATTTGTAAAATAATACTTAACCACAGATCTGTTATATTGACGGTTGTTTTTATGAAAATCTGTGGTGGCCAGATTTAGCCCCCAGGCCTCGATTTTCACACATCTGATATAAAAGGAATATTTATTTGAAAGCAATCTAAAAATGAGGTGTTTTTTTTTTTACCTTTTTAAACGGAGTAAGTGAAATAAATAAACTTGTGATGATGATCTCATTTATTGAGATGCACCTGTACAGGAGCAGAGTCGTCATTTTTGTTGCGTCCTGTGTTGTTGGTTTGTAGCAATAGAAACAGTTTAGTGTGCGTGCGTGTTGCGTCAGCAGCTTCACGTTTCTCTCCTGACGTTGTTGCCTTTGGCCCCGCAGCGCCGCCCGGCTCGGCCTGCTGTCCGAACAGCAGCGTCTCCTCCAGCATCAGCTCCAGCAGCTGCTGTCCTCCCAGTCGTCAGCGGTACGTCACTCCCTCGGGAACCGGGTTCCCCTTTTCTCCCGACCGGGTTCGTGGCGTAAATGTCTTTAACTTTAACCTTCCGCTCTTCGACTCAGGACCAGCAGCAGCAGGCGCTGCTCCTGCAGCTGATCCAGCAGCAGCATCAGGACCTGCAGCAGCTGCAGTCCCTCTCCTCCACGGCCCAGATGCCCTCCATGCCGCTGTCTGGCGCTCAGCTGCCCATCGCCAACCTGCAGAGCCAGGGCGCCATCGCCGCCAACCCCTTTCTCGCGCTGCAGCACACACACACCGACACACACGGCTCGGGGCCGGGAAAGCCCCGGGTCGCAGAAAAAGCCGTGGGCATCACTGGCCAAGAGAAGACATGACACTTTTTTTGTTTGTTTGTTTTTGATTGATTTTACTTCATTTTTTTATTATTACTCTCTTTATTAAATATGCACAGTTGTAAGATAAACTTTTTGGTCAGAGTCCATCAGCTGAACAGAAGAGCAAACGTTAAAGTGTTACCATTTGTTTCATGGAGTTCCTTCCCTCACTCAAACTGGGCCGGCTCACTTCGGTTCTGCAGCTTTTTCTGGTTTAAAACTTGACCCTGAATTCTGTTTATGTGTGTGTATGTGTGTGCTTGCGCTATTTATTTCCGTCTAACTTATAGTTGTGTTCTTTTTAACTGTTTCTTTGTTCTTAATGTCTTTAGTTGGGTTTTAATTTAATATTCCTAGTCGCTTCTCTATAAGTTAGTTTGACCATGTAGCATCCATGTTTTTCTTTTTCCTCATGTTTTGTTTGGCTTGAATCATCTAAAAGGTCAGTTTCCAAGAAAGTTTAAAGCTAATTGTTTCTGTCATAATTCGGACTCTTGTTTCCTCTCCTCTCGGCTTCTTCTCTTCGTTTCTGTCACGATGTTTCACTCTCAGGGGCCTCCACTAACCAGAGCTGTTAGCTCAACAGCCGAGCTGGCGCACAGAAAACCTACAAACCTAAAAATCACAAAAAAAAAAAAAAAAAAAAAAAAGAAAGAAAAAAACGGAAACAAGCAGCAATACATGAATGAGTATAAAAGTACACTTCCCTGGAATAGCACTGAACAGTAGCAGATGTATGTTTGACATCTGTCTCGCAGCAGTCCCGAGGGGAATATCGGGTCAGCGTTGTGAAAGGAAAAAAAAAAAAAATTGCCCCACATGTTTTTGGCTGCTGCTTCTCTCCCAATGTCTCTTTCGCTCTGCGCGCTGCAGATCCGTTAATGTCAGCGAGCCAAGCGTCACACTGTCACCGCAGTAGCCTTGCCGTCGACTGTCTCTTTGCCGGGCCAGATACGGGGGGGCTCAGTCATGGATGTGAGACACTCACAGGACGGGGGTTAAAAAGAAAACTCAAGATTTAAAGGCAGCTTGTTTCGAGATGCTGTAATCCACGTAGCTTGGAGTCCAAAACAAAGAGGTCACACACTTGTCAGCAAACAAAGCCTCTTTCCTCCCCCCGTCTTCCTGATTGAGCCCCCTGCTTGCACCTACCTCTTCGAGCAGGACCTAAAAGGCCGACCGCGGCGGTCGCTTAAAAAAAAACAAACAAAAAAAAAAAAAAACAACACAACAGTCAGGACTGGCCGATCAGGCTCCAAACACAAGTGCCTGAGGCCAAATAGGTGGGGAGGGGGTGAGATTTTTGTGTTTCTTTTTACATTGCTTTTTTTTTTTTTTTACAGTGCTCCTGGTGATTATGCTGCACCTAATTTAATAGAAACACTTTCCAACTCTTAAAACGAGGAAAATTTATTCAGCTGCGTTCTTTAATATTCAAAAGAAAAAAAAATACAACTTTTATGTTGTTTTTTTTATTTATCTGGAGTGTTTGTGTACTGTGTGTAAATTTATATATTTTAAAAGAAAAAATCTCACTGATTTTCCTTTTTTTTTTGCGATTTAACATAATTTTGTACTACTGTATACAGGTTTTGTTTTTGTTTTTGACCTCCAACACAGTCTGATTTTGCTGTAAACTCCCTCTGATGACGTCTGCTCTGTGTCACGTGTTTGAAAAGCTAGAAGCTATTTAATAGTTGGTTTATTTGTGGGGAGCGGGGGAAGGGGGTGTACATAGCTGCTTGTAGGGGCGGAGGAAGTGTGTTCGGTGGCACAGTCTTTACCTCGTTAAGTGTACATAAACCTTTCTCATTGGCCGTTTGGTGTACATAAGTGATTGTGATTGGCCGTGACGCCAATGAAGCCTCAAGTTTGTGCGTGAGAGTGTCTTTTTAGGACCAGAAAAAAATAAGATTAACAGTGACTGGACACACAAAAGTATTAATTTATTTTTATATGTGCAGGGACATTGTGGTTCTTTTGTTTTTAAGGTTTGCACCGTTTTCTCAATTTTTATTTTATTTTTATTTTTTACTTGGGCACTATGATTTCATTTGTCCACACAAATGTGTTTCAATCAGTTTTGTAAAAGTGGGGAAATAATTAAGGTGGTGTGAGGAGTGGGGTCTCATATTGTATTTCAAAATGCAAAAAAAATAAACTCTGGATTAAGAAAATCTTTTTGTTTTTAGTCTTGTGTATGATAGAATTGATGCTAAAAATGTTCAGGCAATTTTTGAAATTGTAATTTTTTTTTCTTCAATTTTCTGAATTATGTTTTACAGTGTACGTTGATGGGGTTTTATGTTTTTAAATAGAAAACATAGACATTTAAAAAATTGAATCCATTTCATATCAAGTTATTAAACTATTTTCTTTTTTTTTTGTCTGATCATAAGAGGTGATATTTAAATAAAATTGCAAATAAATAAATAAAATGTATAATGTTTAATAAATCAAATTTGTGACCTAATCTGTAAGGCTTTATTTAATTCTTTATATAGAAATATGGCTTGCCTCTTTGAGTTATAGCCTTGCACAAAAATGGTTATAAAGGCTTATATTTTCATTTTTCTTAAAAATCATAATGAATCTTTACCTTTAAAACGTGTGTTTCTGTTCCTAATAAACACACACCCTTGTTGAAATTGATGGGTTCCTGCTGCTGGATACTAAAGGGGGTCGTTGAGTGAGGAGTGGGATCTGGTTTTGTCTACAACTGCTGAAAACCAAACTGCAGAAAAACCTCTGGATTAATAAAAAAAATATCAGTTCTCTGCTGTGTGTGTGTGTGTGTGTGTATACACCACAGGTGGTAAATATTTAATTATTTAATGATGCGTAATAGTTGATTTTTTTTCCTACTGTTTTTGCTTTGTTTCCGTACTCTTAGGGTTTTTTTGTAAAATTAAAAAAAAAAAATTCTAATTGCTTACTTGCAGCTAATTGTTGCTGAAGTTAGACACATCCTTAACTTTTTTTGTTTTGAATTTAAATTTTCACTTTTGACTATTTGACTTTTTGGCTCAGCTTGTTAGCAAATTTTTAAATGCATTTTATTTATGGCTCTACATAATCATATAATTATTTTTATATAACATCCTATATATAGGGCGGAGAACGGAGCAGCAACATGGTTTTGTTTTGTAGTGGGAGAAAAGCGGAAACCATCAAGATGGGACTCGGTAAAAAAAAACAAAAAAAAACGAGTGTCTAAC